CGTACTTTAATATTACTCTTGTCGTTCGCGCATAAAAACTTGTTTACGCGCATCGACTCGTTATATCAGGTGTTCGAAATATCCAGATCTTATTTCATTTTATTATAATTCCAGATATACTCAAACACCGAAATGGCAGATGTAAGTATATTATTTTTCATTATCATTATAAAATACTATTATTTTTTATTATAAAAAACTAATACTCTTTATACATTTCAGATACAGATGAATGAAGCCGACCACATCGCCGCCGAGCCCGTGGCCGCCGGCCCCGTCGCCGCCGGCCCCGTCGCCGCCGCCCTTCGCCGGCCCCGTCGCCGCCCCCGTCGCCGCCCCGGCCCGTCGCCGCCCGTTGCCGCCGACTATCATAGAGGTTAGTTAAATTTTAATTTAATTAAATTGATATAAGCTAGATTAATCGAAGATCGTTTAATTAACAATTAATATGATCGAAGTCAATTAAAGATTATTTAATTGACAATTGATATAAACGAAATTAATCGGAGAACGATCGACTAACAATTAATACAAGCTAATTTAATTAAAAGTTTTTTAATTAACGATTAATATGAGTTAATTTTAATTAGAAGTTCTTTAATTGACGATTGAAAAAAACAGATTCAATCGAAGACAATTCAATTGACAATTGATTTGAGCAGAAACAATTAAAAATATTTAATTGACGATTAAATATAGCAAATTTAATGCGAATCTCTTCCATTAATGATTGACTTAAGAAAATCGATATAATTTCTCTATTTCCATTAATTAACAATGTGTAACGATTAATACAATTTAAATTTTAATCGAAGATGTTTGATTGATGATATTAATATGACTGAATTTAAATAATATATATCTTTTCCTTGATTCTAGCAAAGTTATTGTACGTAATAGTTACAATGTAAATAATAAATAATTTACGTTTTTTAAACCATATTTTTATTCAGAACATTTTCAATTCATTATACATTTTATTATATTTAATTTAATTATATTTAATGTTAATATATATTTCTCAATTTTTTTTCATTTGTTCTAAAATAATAAATGTATAATATGTTATAATAAAATGTGTTGTACATATATACAATATATATTATAATTCAAAATTATTAATCAAATGTAAATATTGCAGGAAGTTTGGTAATACAACGAAGTGTAACCATACAGTTTCCTTCTGGAGAACATTTCTGCATTCAACTAGGTAACCATTTCACAATGTTTTTACATATTACATTCAAATTGTGTTTATTTATTATAAATAAATTATTAGAGAAAATATTGAAAAATATTGAATAACATAATTAGAATACGTTGTATATAAATATGTATATAAATGGTCTTGTTTTAAAATTGTATTATTATTTAAATGCTTAGAATGTATATATTTTGTTATTATGTATTTATTTATATATTTATTTTTTTTTATATTGAAAAGATTCATTTTTCTTTTTCCTTTTTTTAAATTAATAAATTTTATTAAATATTTGTTTGCCAATTAAACAAAAATGTAATCGTACACCAGCAATTACTTTTCAAAATATTATTTTTCTTGTGTGTGAATAGTTTTATATATAATATCTGGAATGCAAATATATATTGTTAATAATAATAGTTTTGTTGCATATCTATTATTCATATAATTTGGAAATAATATAATTTAATAATTAAAAATTGCAAACAGAGTAATATATTTACATATTTATATTTATTATATTATATCTGCATATATTCATATTGATGAGATAATTGCTTATTATATAAAATCATGTGCGTGATAATTAAATATTTTCTATGCAATCAAATTAATAAGGAATATAATGATTTAATATAATTATATTCTAAATCTGTTGGTGAAAACGTTACGTGTAACAAATATATACAATTAAAGTTATTATAAAAATTTTATTATTTTTGTAAAATATCATTTACTTTGTAGAATACTTGAAAATATTACAATTCTATTTCTTAATAATAAATTAATTAAATTTAATAAAGGAAATAAAACATTTTATCGTGTTCTGATATTGGACTTATTAACCATAGCGTGTAATTAAATATTATAGGTCTACGCTTATTGTGATAAAGCTCTTTGATTGTTAATTGACGGAAATATAACCTAAGAGCTTTGGACATTCACATTCCACAGTAATCAAAGAGTTAGGATTATCAATTTTCTTTAAGGTAACGTATTGATAGTTTGTTCATTACTTGTCATAATGCAAATACAATTTGACTTTATCACTTTATAATTATTAAAAATCGTTTTAGAGTGAATCTTGTGTAACAACCTTTTTTTGGTTTTCTTCGGAATTTTTTATAAAGAACTCATAAATGTATATGTACAAAAAATTTCATTTTAAAAAAGGTAAAAAAAGATGTTAAGTCCGCGTCAAAAACTATATCTTCAAAATCTTACAGAATCTTAAAACATATCTGAAAAATAATGTATTTAAATTATATAATGACATTAAAAACTTGCGATAACAAAAATATAAACATTAAAGACTTGCGACAAAAAAAATTAATTTAAAAACTTAGCATTGCTAATGTCATTATTGCATATTACTTCAATTAAAATTTCAATTGTATAGTATAATACAACAATTACAATTGTTAAATTATTGTTTAGCTTAGCAGTGCTAAGTTTTTAAATTAAATTGTTCTACTTTCTTTTTCAAATTTTTAATGTTTTTTTATTTCTTCTTGTCGCAAGTTTGTAATGTTTATATCTTTTTTGTCCCAAGTTTTAATGTCAGTATGTATTTTAAATTCATTATTTTTATAAGAAATTAAAACAACTATTTTGTGCAACTTTTTAAATTAAAATATTTTAATAAGGTTTTATTTTTGCTTAGCGCAATTTTTAGATATGTTTTAAGATTCTGTAAGATTTTGGAGATATAGTTTTTGACGCGGACTTAACAACTTTTTTTACCTTTTTTAAAATGAAATTTTTTGTACATATACATTTATGAGTTCTTTATAAAAAATTCCGAAGAAAACCAAAAAAGTTGTTACACAAGATTCACTCTAAAACGATTTTTAATAATTATAAAGTGATAAAGTCAAATTGTATTTGCATTATGACAAGTAATGAACAAACTATCAATACGTTACCTTAAAGAAAATTGATAATCCTAACTCTTTGATTACTGTGGAATGTGAATGTCCAAAGCTCTTAGGTTATATTTCCGTCAATTAACAATCAAAGAGCTTTATCACAATAAGCGTAGACCTATAATATTTAATTACACGCTATGGTTAATAAGTCCAATATCAGAACACGATAAAATGTTTTATTTCCTTTATTAAATTTAATTAATTTATTATTAAGAAATAGAATTGTAATATTTTCAAGTATTCTACAAAGTAAATGATATTTTACAAAAATAATAAAATTTTAATATAATAACTTTAATTGTATATATTTGTTACACGTAACGTTTTCACCAACAGATTTAGAATATAATTATATTAAATCATTATATTCCTTATTAATTTGATTGCATAGAAAATATTTAATTATCACGCACATGATTTTATATAATAAGCAATTATCTCATCAATATGAATATATGCAGATATAATATAATAAATATAAATATGTAAATATATTACTCTGTTTGCAATTTTTAATTATTAAATTATATTATTTCCAAATTATATGAATAATAGATATGCAACAAAACTATTATTATTAACAATATATATTTGCATTCCAGATATTATATATAAAACTATTCACACACAAGAAAAATAATATTTTGAAAAGTAATTGCTGGTGTACGATTACATTTTTGTTTAATTGGCAAACAAATATTTAATAAAATTTATTAATTTAAAAAAAGGAAAAAGAAAAATGAATCTTTTCAATATAAAAAAATATAAATATATAAATAAATACATAATAACAAAATATATACATTCTAAGCATTTAAATAATAATACAATTTTAAAACAAGACCATTTATATACATATTTATATACAACGTATTCTAATTATGTTATTCAATATTTTTCAATATTTTTCTCTAATAATTTATTTATAATAAATAAACACAATTTGAATGTAATATGTAAAAACATTGTGAAATGGTTACCTAGTTGAATGCAGAAATGTTCTCCAGAAGGAAACTGTATGGTTACACTTCGTTGTATTACCAAACTTCCTGCAATATTTACATTTGATTAATAATTTTGAATTATAATATATATTGTATATATGTACAACACATTTTATTATAACATATTATACATTTATTATTTTAGAACAAATGAAAAAAAATTTGAGAAATATATATTAACATTAAATATAATTAAATTAAATATAATAAAATGTATAATGAATTGAAAATGTTCTGAATAAAAATATGGTTTAAAAAACGTAAATTATTTATTATTTACATTGTAACTATTACGTACAATAACTTTGCTAGAATCAAGGAAAAGATATATATTATTTAAATTCAGTCATATTAATATCATCAATCAAACATCTTCGATTAAAATTTAAATTGTATTAATCGTTACACATTGTTAATTAATGGAAATAGAGAAATTATATCGATTTTCTTAAGTCAATCATTAATGGAAGAGATTCGCATTAAATTTGCTATATTTAATCGTCAATTAAATATTTTTTAATTGTTTCTGCTCAAATCAATTGTCAATTGAATTGTCTTCGATTGAATCTGTTTTTTTCAATCGTCAATTAAAGAACTTCTAATTAAAATTAACTCATATTAATCGTTAATTAAAAAACTTTTAATTAAATTAGCTTGTATTAATTGTTAGTCGATCGTTCTCCGATTAATTTCGTTTATATCAATTGTCAATTAAATAATCTTTAATTGACTTCGATCATATTAATTGTTAATTAAACGATCTTCGATTAATCTAGCTTATATCAATTTAATTAAATTAAAATTTAACTAACCTCTATGATAGTCGGCGGCAACGGCGAACCGGCGGCGACGGGGCGGCGACATCGGCGGCGATGTGGTCGGCTTCATTCATCTGTATCTGAAATGTATAAAGAGTATTAGTTTTTTATAATAAAAAATAATAGTATTTTATAATGATAATGAAAATAATATACTTACATCTGCCATTTCGGTGTTTGAGTATATCTGGAATTATAATAAAATGAAATAAGATCTGGATATTTCGAACACCTGATATAACGAGTCGATGCGCGTAAACAAGTTTTTATGCGCGAACGACAAGAGTAATATTAAAGTACGTCCGAAATATATCTATTGCAAAACTATATGTAAAATCATAATTATAATCATGGAATCAATAAATAAGATGCGAATATCTCAAAAATTCACGAAAAGATCCCGAAAAGTTCATAAAAATGACAATGTTCCGTCGCTTAATGCTAGTCGTTCTCGCGAAATAAATTATTAATTAATAATAAACGAACTTAATTGCTGACTACTAATTAACTGATTCTACATTTCATTATAGACGATGATGATGTTAGAACGATAGTTTACAGAATCTTATATGTATAGGACTTACCGAAGTTAGTTGCTGAGATGTCAGTCTTCTCACGACCACAAACTGATTAGACCACAGGCTGCGCGACAGGGGTGCGTAATCGTACGGCTTGTATTTAGAATAATATGCTCGATGCCACGCGTTTCACACGTGTTGTTCTTGGCCGCGTGTTCATATCATCGATGTTTTCGACAATTTTCGGTGCGACGAAATAATCGCTGCTTTAATCAGGTAATGATTTTATATTGTACGTATCAAAATATTTATTATAAATAAATTTGTGAATATGTTGATGAAGTTAATGTGTAAAGTTATAAGATAATTAATTCTTTATATATTTGGATTATAATTAAATATTAATTTTATAATAGTACAGACACACACACACACACACACACACACACACACACACACACACACACTCACGCGCGCTTATGTCCGTGTGTTGATACGTATATCTATATTCTTTAATTAATATTTAAATTTATATTGTACATATGCAGAATATATATGCAGGATATCACAGAATTAGTAGTAAACCTGTTAATGGAAGATTCTTGAGATAATTGGGAGACGATTTTGCTTCTAACTATATTGATATATAAATTTATAAACTATATAGTTTTTTTCAAAAATTTTGATTTTTCTCAATATTTTATATACAAAATTTTTGAAACAAGATCGACGAAAAATTAATATTTTATGAGATACTTACGTTCATGCAAAATAATGTGTTAAAGATGTAAAATACCCTGTTAAATATTCTCTTTGTGATTATCTTATTCTTACAACTTATTGTTTTAATAATTATATTTCACTTTTACGCGATATTTTTTCTTTTTATTATTCCCCTTATTTCTATATGTGTATATCGTCTATAATTCTTATATATGTGTATATCGTCTATAATTCTTATAATTTCTTTTTTTTTAATTGCATCTTTTGCTATTTTTTATTTGTTTTCGAATTATTACCCTGTATACATATATATATATATTATATATATATATATTATCTAATTTTTCTTTATAAAATCAATAAAATCAATGTTTACAAGCAACTATTATAATAAATATATATATTTAAAATACATCTAATATATATAATTTTGATTTAAATCGTAGCACCCTTTATACTGCGCATGATGCAACACGCCTTAACCGAACAAATATTTTGGAAAATAGTTCGTTTATATACAAACAGCAAGTGAGTAAATTTTAATCGAAGATGTTTGATTGATGATATTAATATGACTGAATTTAAATAATATATATCTTTTCCTTGGTTCTAGCAAAGTTATTGTACGTAATAGTTAAAATATAAATAATAAAATAATTTACGTTTTTTAAACCATATTTTTATTCAGAACATTTTCAATTCATTATACATTTTATTATATTTAATTTAATTATATTTCTTGTTAATATATATTTCTCGAATTTTTTTCATTTGTTCTAAAATAATAATGTATAATATGTTATAATAAATGTGTTGTTATTTAATTATATTATAATTCAAAATTAATAAATGTAAATGTATAATATGTTATAATAAAATGTGTTGTACATATATATAATATATATTATAATTCAAAATTATTAATCAAATGTAAATATTGCAGGAAGTTTGGTAATACAACGAAGTGTAACCATACAGTTTCCTTCTGGAGAACATTTCTGCATTCAACTAGGTAACCATTTCACAATGTTTTTACATATTACATTCAAATTTTTTTATTTATTATAAATAAATTATTAGAGAGAAATATTGAAAATATTGAATAACATAATTAGAATACGTTGTATATAAATATTTATTTAAATGGTCTTGTTTTAAAATTGTATTATTATTTAAATGCTTAGAATGTATATATTTTGTTATTATGTATTTATTTATATATTTATATTTTTTTTATATTGAAAAGATTCATTTTTCTTTTTCCTTTTTTTAAATTAATAAATTTTATTAAATATTTGTTTGCCAATTAAACAAAAATGTAATCGTACACCAGCAATTACTTTTCAAAATATTATTTTTCTTGTGTGTGAATAGTTTCATATAATATCTGGATTGCAAATATATATTGTTAATAATAATAGTTTTGTTGCATATCTATTATGCATATAATTTGGAAATAATATAATTTAATAATTAAAAATTGCAAACAGACTAATATATTCACATATTTATATTTATTATATTATATCTGCACATATTCATATTGATGAGATAATTGTTTATTATATAAAATCATGTGCGTGATAATTAAATATTTTCTATGCAATCAAATTAATAAGGAATATAATGATTTAATATGATTATATTCTAAATCTGTTGGTGAAAACGTTACGTGTAACAAATATATACAATTAAGTTATTAAAATTTTATTATTTTTGTAAAATATCATTTACTTTGTAGAATACTTGAAAATATTACAATTCTATTTCTTAATAATAAATTAATTAAATTTAATAAAGGAAATAAAACATTTTATCGTGTTCTGATATTGGACTTATTAACCATAGCGTGTAATTAAATATTATAGGTCTACGCTTATTGTGATAAAGCTCTTTGATTGTTAATTGACGGAAATATAACCTAAGAGCTTTGGACATTCACATTCCACAGTAATCAAAGAGTTAGGATTATCAATTTTCTTTAAGGTAACGTATTGATAGTTTGTTCATTACTTGTCATAATGCAAATACAATTTGACTTTATCACTTTATAATTATTAAAAATCGTTTTAGAGTGAATCTTGTGTAACAACCTTTTTTTGGTTTTCTTCGGAATTTTTTATAAAGAACTCATAAATGTATATGTACAAAAAATTTCATTTTAAAAAAGGTAAAAAAAGATGTTAAGTCCGCGTCAAAAACTATATCTTCAAAATCTTACAGAATCTTAAAACATATCTGAAAAATAATGTATTTAAATTATATAATGACATTAAAAACTTGCGATAACAAAAATATAAACATTAAAGACTTGCGACAAAAAAAATTAATTTAAAAACTTAGCATTGCTAATGTCATTATTGCATATTACTTCAATTAAAATTTCAATTGTATAGTATAATACAACAATTACAATTGTTAAATTATTGTTTAGCTTAGCAGTGCTAAGTTTTTAAATTAAATTGTTCTACTTTCTTTCGCAAATTTTTAATGTTTTTTTTATTTCTTCTTGTCGCAAGTTTGTAATGTTTATATCTTTTTTGTCCCAAGTTTTAATGTCAGTATGTATTTTAAATTCATTATTTTTATAAGAAATTAAAACAACTATTTTGTGCAACTTTTTTAAATTAAAATATTTTAATAAGGTTTTATTTTTGCTTAGCGCAATTTTTAGATATGTTTTAAGATTCTGTAAGATTTTGGAGATATAGTTTTTGACGCGGACTTAACAACTTTTTTTACCTTTTTTAAAATAAAATTTTTTCTACATATACAAAACATTTATGAGTTCTTTATAAAAAATTCCGAAGAAAACCAAAAAAAGCTTGTTACACAAGATTCACTCTAAAACGATTTTTAATAATTATAAAGTGATAAAGTCAAATTGTATTTGCATTATGACAAGTAATGAACAAACTATCAATACGTTACCTTAAAGAAAATTGATAATCCTAACTCTTTGATTACTGTGGAATGTGAATGTCCAAAGCTCTTAGGTTATATTTCCCTCAATTAACAATCAAATAGCTTTATCACAATAAGCGTAGACCTATAATATTTAATTACACGCTATGGTTAATAAGTCCAATATCAGAACACGCGATAAAATGTTTTATTTCCTTTATTAAATTTAATTAATTTATTATTAAGAAATAGAATTGTAATATTTTCAAGTATTCTACAAAGTAAATGATATTTTACAAAAATAATAAAATTTTAATAACTTTAATTGTATATATTTGTTACACGTAACGTTTTCACCAACAGATTTAGAATATAATCATGTTAAATCATTATATTCCTTATTAATTTGATTGCATAGAAAATATTTAATTATCACGCACATGATTTTATATAATAAACAATTATCTCATCAATATGAATATGTGCAGATATAATATAATAAATATAAATATGTGAAAATATTAGTCTGTTTGCAATTTTTAATTATTAAATTATATTATTTCCAAATTATATGCATAATAGATATGCAACAAAACTATTATTATTAACAATATATATTTGCAATCCAGATATTATATGAAACTATTCACACACAAGAAAAATAATATTTTGAAAAGTAATTGCTGGTGTACGATTACATTTTTGTTTAATTGGCAAACAAATATTTAATAAAATTTATTAATTTAAAAAAAGGAAAAAGAAAAATGAATCTTTTCAATATAAAAAAAATATAAATATATAAATAAATACATAATAACAAAATATATACATTCTAAGCATTTAAATAATAATACAATTTTAAAACAAGACCATTTAAATAAATATTTATATACAGCGTATTCTAATTATGTTATTCAATATTTTTCAATATTTCTCTCTAATAATTTATTTATAATAAATAAACACAATTTGAATGTAATACGTGATTGCCATTTTCCAAATTATGTAAGCGATTATCTAATCGTGTACATAAAATTTTTCAAATATTTCAAATATATATCAATTGAGATATTTAATTTGAAATATTTATTTTACTATTATTTTGTAAATATACCTAAAACGTTACTTTCGGAATATTGCATATACGCACCAATTGAGATATTTCATTTGAAATATTTATTTTACTATTATTTTGTAAATATACCTAAAACGATAACTTTGGAATGTTTTAAATACATATCTATTGAGATATTTCATTTGAAATATTTCTAATATATACTATGATGAAATATTTCAATTGTAACATTTATGAATTATATCAAAAACAAATACGTACAATGTATCATTTGAAATCTGAATGAAACAATTTGAAACATTGCATGTATATTTCATGTTTAGTGAGTTAACGTTAACAGGAATTTTCAAGATCTCTGCAAGGTCAAATGAATATCAGCATCATCTGTCTTTCTTCAAATCCTATGGTGTTTGTTTGAAACATTTTTTCGTCTTGCATATTTAACAAGTTTATTTAAATGTCGTAGGAAGTTTTATTATCAATAAATCATCAATGCCTCTTAAAAATTCTTGTTTAATCTGTAAGTAAATCCTGTATTTATAAATCTTGTTTGTACAGAAATACCTATTTCATAAGTA